TTAACTAAAAAATCCTAACCTAATCTAACTTAGCATAACTCACCTAACCTAACTTACCTAACATAGCCTAGCGAATAACTATCCTAACCTACATATTCTCTCATACATTTCACCCCTTAACCTAACCTCTTTTTGATCTTAGTGTATTCCTTGACCTTTACCCAACCTTTGAGACATATTTTATGTGTTGAATATATTGTCCTTAACCTAACTTTTGTTTCTCCTCTTTGTATATTTTTACCCAAATCCACCATCCCACTTAACCTTCCTTCCAATTTGTTTACTTTTTGTCACATACAAGTTCATTATCCCTTTTCTCTCTCTCTCTCTCTCTCTCTCTCTCTCTCTCTCTCTCTCTCTCTCTCCTCTCTCCTCTCTCTCTCTCTCTCTCTCTCTCTCTCTCTCTCTCTCTCTCTCTCTCTCTCTCTCTCTCTCTCTCTCTCTCTCTCTCTCTCTTCTCTCCTCTCTCTCTCTCTCTCTCTCTCTCTCTCTCTCTCTCTCTCTCTCTCTCTCTCTCTCTCTCTCTCTCTCTCTCTCTCTCTCTCTCTCTCTCTCTCCTCTCTCTCTCTCTCTCTCTCTCTATCTCTCTCTCTCTCTCGCTCTCCTCTCTCTCTCTCTCTCTCTCTCTCTCTCTCTCTCTCTCTCTCTCTCTCTCTCTCTCTCTCTCTCTCTCTATCTCTCTCTCTCTCTCTCTCCTCTCTCTCTCTCTCTCTCTCTCTCTCTCTCTCTCTATCTCTCTCTCTCTCTCTCTCTCTCTCTCTCTATCTCTCTCTCTCTCTCTCTCTCTCTCTCTCGCTCTCTCTCTCTCTCTCTCTCTCTCTCTCTCTCTCTCTCTCTCTCTCTCTCTCTCTCTCTCTCTCTCTCTCTCTCTCTCTCTCTCTCTCTCTCTCTCTCTCTCTCTCTCTCTCTCTCTCTCTCTCTCTCTCTCTCTCTCTCTCTCGCTCTCTCTCTCTCTCTCTCTCTCTCTCTCTCTCTCTCTCTCTCTCTCTCTCTCTCTCTCTCTCTCTCTCTCTCTCTCTCTCTCTCTCTCTCTCTCTCTCTCTCTCTCTCTCTCTCTCTCTCTCTCTCTCTCTCTCTCTCTCTCTCTCTCTCTCTCTCTCTCTCTCTCTCTCCCCTTGTAAAAATATACAGAGATGAGAAACAAAAGTTAGGTTGAGGACAATATATTCAACACATAAACTATGTCTGAAAGGTTGGGTTAAAGGTCAAGGAATAAACTAAGATCAAAAAGAGGTTAGGTTAAGGGGTGAAATGTATGAGAGAATATAAGCTAAGTAAAGGGTAGGTAGGGGAGGTTAGGAAGGGAAGGGTAGATAAAATATGATACGTTATATAAGTTAGGTTAGTAAGTTATGTATGGTGGGGAGATCAGGTTATGTTAATTAAGTTTAGTTAAGTTAGGTTAGATGTGGTTAGGTAAGTTATGCTGTTAGGTTAGGTTAGGTTATGTCAGTTAAGTTTGGTTAGGTAAGTTATGATAAGTTAGGTTAGGTTACTTTAGGCTTTGTAAGTAATGTTAGGTTATGTTAGGTTATTCAGGTTAGGTTAGGTTAGTTATGTTTGGTTAGGTTAGTTAAGTTAGGTTAGGTAATTTACGTTAAGTTAGGATAGGTTAGGTTAGTTATGTTAGGTTAGGGTAGTTATGTTAAGTTAGGATAGGTTAGGTTAGGCTATGTAAGTTATGTTAGGTTAGGTTAGGCTATGTAAGTTATGTTAGGTTAGGTTAGGTTGGTTAAGTTAGGTTAGGTTTGGTTAGTTAAGTTAGATTAGGTGGGTTATGTTAAGTTAGGATAGGTTGGGTTGGGTTAGGTAAGTTAGGTTAGGTTAGTTAAGTTAGGTTAGGGTAGGTTAGGATAGTTAAGTTAGGATAGGTTAGGTTAGTTAAGTTAGATTATTTTGGTTAGTAAGTTCTGCAAGTTAAGTTAGGTAAGTTTCATTAAGTTAGGTTAGGTTAGGGCAGATAAGTTAAGTTACGTTAGGATAGGTAAGTTATGTTAAATTTGGATAGGTTAGGTAAATTGTGTTAAGTTAGGTAAGTTACATAGAGTTAGGATAGGTTACATTAGGTTAGGTTAGTTAAGTTTGGTCAGGTAAGTTTGATTAGGTAAGTTAGGTTAGGTTAGTTAAGTTAGGCTAGGGCAGGTTAGGTTAGTTAAGTTAAGATAGGTTAGGTAAGTTAAGTTAGGTTAGGTTAGGTAAGTTACATTAAGTTAGGTTAGGTTAGGTTAGTTGAGTTAGGATAGGTTAGGTTATGCAAGGTAAGTTAGGTTATGCAAGGTAAGTTAGGTTATGCAAGGTAAGTTAGGTTGGGTTAGGTTAGGTTAGTTAAGTTTGGTTAGGTTAATTAAGTTAGGTTAGGTTAGGTAAGTTTGTTTAGGTAAGTTACATCAGGTAAGGGAGGAATAGATTAGAATAGGTTAGGTTAGGTTAGATATATATTTTAACAGCAGTGCAAGTTTGATATGAAAGGCTGAACTAGTTACATTTTGGAGAGATATTTTATGCCTGAAGATGTCTTAGAGAACAACATTGATGTCTTAGAGAACAACATTGATGTCTTAGAGAACAACATTGATGTCTTAGAGAACAACATTGATGTCTTAGAGAACTTTGATGAACAAATGTGAGTTAGAGAATAACTTTGATGACCGAGATTAACTTTTAATATCTCTGAGAATAACTTTTGACGACATTAGTATTAGTATTTTGATGAGCAAAGTTGTCTTGGAAAGCTTCTTTGATGAACGAAGGTGACTTAGAGAATAACTTTGATGACTGAGATTAACTTTTCAAGGCTCTGTTAATAACTTTTGAAGGCTCTGTGAATAACTTTGGCACTCTGGGAATAACTTTAAGACATGAGTAGTATTTTTCATGTCTCTGAGTGTGTCTTTGACGTCTCAAAGGGTGTCTTTGACGTCTCAAAGGGTGTCTTTGACGTTTCAAAGGGTGTCTTTGACGTCTCAAAGGGTGTCTTTGACGTCTCAAAGGGTGTCTTTGACGTCTCAAAGGGTGTCTTTAATGTCTCTGAATGTCCCTTGAATAGTCCCTTGATGTCTCTGAATAGTCCCTTGACTATTTTCTTCTTACTCAACGAAGAATAACGGTAGTTACGAAAGTGCTGAAAGAAGTTACATTTGACTATTTTTAGTTGAGGGGAAGAATAATTTTAGTTAGGAAACGATAAGAAAACATAATGAACATGGATATTTTCAGTTGATTGACGAATAATTTTAGTTAAAATTGACAAGAAAAAGATGATAATAAGTGTGGATATTTCAGTTGATTAACAAGTAATTTTTAGTTAAGAAATGACAAGAAAAGTTTGTCTTGGTAAATTTGGTTCTGAATAAAGAGCAGATTTGTTTAAGAACAGTGTCGGTAAGAAATATTAAGTTGATAAAGAGAATTACATTGACGTAGTTTTGAAAATAAAACTGGTTGACAGACTAAATTTGTTGTGGGGGGGGGGGACTGTAATGCTGTTGATAATATTTTGGCAAAGAACTAGTTAATGAATGGAAGGAAACAATTGGTTTAAAAGGACAAAGAACATGTAAGAGAATGCCGTGAGTACAGAAAACATGCTCGGAACATGACAAAGAACACAGACAACATGTAAGTGAAGGTGACGAACACAATGAAATTGTGGAGAATTTGAACTTACAGAGAACATGAAAACATGACAAATGATCATAGAAAATATGATTACAATTTGCAAAGAACATTATGAGACTATGACAAAGATCACAGAAAAATGGAGAAACTGGAGAAAAATATGAACTGACCATGCTGTGAACATTTGAAGAAAATGGAGTGAACACAGAAAACATGGAAGAGAATGTGAATAACAGTGAATATAGAGAAAATATAAAAACAAAGTAGGATTATTGAAGGTTTGGATAAGTTGGAAATAAGGCAGATGTAGGGGGAGCTAAGGGATGAGGAGGTAAGGGGCGAAGGTATAGGGTGTGGGGAGATAAGGGTGAAGGGGAGATTAGGGAAGGTAAGGGGAGGAGGAGGGAAGGGATGGGAAGGTAAGCGTGGGAAAGGGTGTGACCGTGTGACTATTTACATAGCTGAGTAAACAAAGGGTATTGAAGGTGAGGTGCAACCTGACTGTGAGATATTTATTACGGTGTGAATATTAGCTCGTTAGTGATTATTTACATAACTGAGGAAAAAAAGGGTATTGAAGGACAGGATATATTAACTTTTGATAGACTGGAGTGAGTCTTGATCTGAAATAATTTTGATGAACTAAGGTGGGGGACAGAAGCTGGAGCTCGGTAATTGTTAGGATCTTATTTACTGTGTCTGAAATACAGCGGGTTTAAATTTCAGGAACATTGATTGGATACTAAAGAAGATACGCGAGAGGAAGAAGGTTGGATATGGGAGGAAGCGCATGGTAAATAGTTCGAATCTTATTTACTATGTCTGAAATCACTATGTGTTAAATTTCCGGGGGATTGGGCTGTCAGTATTAAATATACGACAGGGGACTAAGGCGGGGACATGACCTAGAGTTCGGTAATTAAATTATTACATTTTTCTATGTCTGAAATACAGCAATTTTAAAATACAACTTACAACTGAAATACAATTTAATTATTTATATACCTGCATATTACTAATTATATAAATTTACCCCCCCCCCCCCCCCCCACCCACGTTTGTTGTAGTGGGATCGGCTCTATATTTTATTTTATTCTACAGTTCATTCATTATGATTTACTAGATTTTCATTTACATTTAATCAAGAAATCCAAAGGTACTTGTTCTCTAGTGTTCCTTGTTTAATAATGGTCCTTCGAATTATATTAGAAATATTTTCATTATTCTAGAGTCAGATTTCCCAACAACAACTAAACAGAGCTAAGGCAATGAGTTAAGAGCTTCCATAATCACAACTATTACAGGTTGTTGTGCCACTACGTCTTACATATATCATCAGTGTCAAGACAAAGAATTTCAGTACTCAGATCCTACTAACTCACCTGCATCTTGAGGTCGCACCGAGTGTTTGCAGTGATGACGACATTAGCAGTGAGAGCCATGCGCGAGTCTTCACTGCCAGTCACCAGTGCCTTGCTATTCACACTTCCCTCGAAGAGGTACTGGTACTGCATCCCCGGCTCGTACTGCAGGTCCAGTCCTCCCCCGCCTGGATCACAGGATTTTGGTTAGTAAAACGTGGATTGCTTTCTATTTTAATCGCAAGGACTAAGTCAGAACATTTTGGCACTATACTATGGAGAGCAAGTAAATGTAAATAACTAATTGTGCCAAAGTTTAAGAATTGAATTTAATTTAGCCAGTAGTTAATAAAAAATATAGTTCAGAACACTGTATTACATAATAGGTAAATGATGCAAGTGACTAACTAAAGATTGCTGTAAGTTTTGTTATACCTGTGTGAAATTTGATTCAGTGAACAGCCGTCAAGTAGCGAAAAGCCAACAGTCTGTTTAACAGTCAATTGACCAGAGCTCGAATAATGAGCAGGAAAAAACTGCGTTGAATGTAATGGACCACCAGTTTTTGTGGAGCCCACTGTGCCTCCCTGGCATTACCATCTCCGATGTAAGGGCCGCCAGTGGCGGAGTTCTCTGGCCTACCAGGGACCCAAAGCCAAAACCTAGTTCACTCACAGAGGCGCAGGAAGCTGATGCATTTATATTTTAAGTTATCATTAATGCCACTACCAAGGCAAATCACCCAGAAAGTCAGTGAGACAAACCAAACTACAGCTGGCTGATGCCGAGACCTGCAGGCTCGAAAACGACATAGAACTCCCCAAACTATGTAAACAAACTATCGATAATGTCATCTACATTTTCGATAGTTTGCCAGAGCCTGCTCGTTCACGCCATCTTCCTCATGGTTTAGAGGGAAGGATGGATTAGGTCATGGATCACAGACCGCTCCAACGTCAGTTCGATGAATGATGTAGGAATCCGGCTCCCTGGCGGTGGGACGATGTGAGTGTTACGTACTCCTAGCTGGATACGTATATAAATTTAAAATAAACTTTTGTTCCATTTCATCATATATGTACACACATGATATTTTTGTAAATTATCGTGTGGTGTGGCAGCGTCAGTGGGGACAGGAGCGCGGTGGCTTTTCACACGTCTAATACCTGTTAGATTCGGGAAGTTAGAATTGCTGGACCTGTTCAGTTTGGGAGTTCCAGATGTCACTTTTACTAAGTTCATATAATTGTTTATTTACTGTAATTAAGCAGGTGGCATTGTACTTATATATTTTGCAAGTAACTATTATATTTAATTTGCATTCTTATGTGTTTTGAGAACAAGTGGTTGTTCAATTAGTTTTAAATATTAAAAAGTCTTTAGTTTCCATCCCTCATCCTGGATGAGGCAGAGGAGGAGAGGATTATAAGTAGCGACAGCCGAGTAGTTCAGTAGCGGATACGGGTCAGGAGAGATCACATCTTTTAGAGTTAAGTCTGTAACATTCATGTTGTGCCATATTCATATTTTATTATATTATATTATGTGAGAGACAATACTGTTTGTTTGGTTGTATAAGTTAACTTTACCATCTGTGTTTTATTATTATACTTTATTGAATATATATTATAAATTTTATATGTATTCCTTCAGTCCTTAAGGAAAATTTTAACAAAGTGCTCATTACTTATTAAGGGGTTACACTGGTGACCCGCTCTTGTGAACAGCAGTTTTAGTAACCCTAGACCTTTTTTAAAGTTGGCTGTTGTAGGGTCACGAGCCGTAACGAACGATAGGTAACAGTGAGGAAGCCACCTAGGCTCACCCAGAAATTGGCGTGTCGTTGCGTTCACCACTTGCTTTCTTGGGGGGATAAGAAGTTCCCTGTGACTCCCTGAATCCATTTACTCACAAAGAAGAAAGAAATTGGCACACACCAGTGAGGAGGGAGCAGCACAGATATCAACTCCAGGCCCACCTGTACCAAAGTGCAAAGAACAGCCACCACGGCAAAAGAAAATCCAGGAAAAACGCTGGGGCTAGAGCGACAGTGGCGATCTCGGCACACATGGGAGGAGTGGTGGAGTGGCCTTCGCTTAACTGATAGCCTGGTGATCAGGCTATCTAAAGAATATTTTCTGGTATGTCCTCTTGACATACCAAAAAATATTCTAAGGAAACTACTCCAAGCTTGTACTAAAGAGGCACCCTTCTTGAGCCCGGATGGGCACATGTATAAGCAAGTAGATGGGGTCGCCATGGGTTCTCCCCTAGGTGTCCTGTTTGCAAACTTCTACATGGGTACCATCGAGCAAAAAGTCTTAGTCGACATGAACTTGAAACCGGCCATATGCTGCAGGTATGTTGACGACATTTTTACACAGGTACCTGATGTCAGACATCTGCAGGAGCTGAAGGAGGCGTTTGAGCAGAGTTCCGTGCTGCGTTTCACTTACGAGATGGAAAAGGATGGGAAGCTGCCCTTTCTAGATGTAACAGTCATGGAAAAGAGCGGAGGTATCCACACTGCAGTCTACACTAAGGAAACGAACATAGGAATGTGCCTAAATGCCAACAGCGACTGCCCAGACAGGTACAAGAGGAGTGTTGTTAATGCATATGTTGACCGTGCTCTCAGCCACAGCTCAGAATGGAAGCAAGTCGATGAAGAACTCTGTAGGGTAAGGCAGGTCCTAGTCAACAACGGCTTCTCCAATGGTTTCGTCGAAGACATCATAAGAAGGAAAGTGAAACGCCATGCAACCTCTGAAGAGAGAACTAACACAACACCTATACCCCCTATTAGACTATTTTACAGGAACTTCTTTTCCACAGCTCATAAAACGGAGGAAAGGGTCCTGAAAGATATTGTTAATAGAAACGTTATCCCTACAGACAAAAATCAGAGGATACAACTGACAATTTACTATAAAACCAGAAAAACGGCCAGCCTACTCATGAGAAACTCTCCAGACACAAAGCAGAACGCTTTAAAAGAGACCAACGTCGTCTATGCCTTCAAATGCCCTCTTGGGGACTGTAAGCTCCAAAAAACCCAGTATATAGGCAAGACAACAACATCTCTTTCTAGGCGGTTAACGATGCATAAGCAACAGGGCTCCATTAAGGAACATATAATCTCTTCCCACAACCAAACCATCGCCAGAGAAATCCTAGTAAACAACACAGAAATCATCGATAGATACAGCGATAGCAGGCGGCTTGACGTTTGCGAGGCACTACACATTAAAAAGTCAACACCAGCAATGAACAGTCAATTAATGCACAACTATATTCTACCCACCTCAAGACTCCGCTCCAATATTGAAGCATCAAGAAATATGGACCAATAGGCTTTCTACAATCACTTCCATTCAATACCCATTGTTTCGTGTTCTGTCTTGTGTTGATGAAATTAATACCCTATTAATGCCACCTCACCCCATCCACCTCACTCAAATGTAGATATAAACAAATCGGAGATGTGTAAGTTCTATTCAGTTGTGTATGTGTAAACTAAAGTCTTTGAAAATGTAATAAGTTTTACGAAACGCGCTCAAGTGTCGCGTCAGACTAGAAATAAAAATTAATTTTGGAGAATTGATTTTTGAATTACCACCAACAGTGAAAAGAAATGTACGAAAGATCGAGAAAATTCGTGTTAGAATTATTAATCTTACTTTTTCGGTCATATTTAATAATATATATATATATATATATATATATATATATATATATATATATATATATATATATATATATATATATATATTATATATATATATATATATATGTCGTACCTAGTAGCCAGAACGCACTTCTCATCCTACTATGCAAGGCCCGATTTGCCTAATAAGCCAAGTTTTCCTGAAATAATGTATTTTCTCTATTTTTTTCTTATGAAATGATAAAGCTACCCATTTCATAATGTATGAGGTCAATTTTTTTATTGGAGTTAAAATTAACGTAGATATATGACCGAACCTAACCAACCCTACCTAACCCAACCTAACCTATCTCTATAGGTTAGGTTAGGTTATGTAGCCGAAAAAGTTAGGTTAGGTTAGGTTAGGTAGGTTAGGTTGTCGAAAAACAATTAATTCATGAAAACTTGGCTTATTAGGCAAATTGGGCCTTGCATAGTAGGCTGAGAAGTGCATTCTTGCTACTAGGTTCGACATATATATATATATATATATATATATATATATATATATATATATATATATATATATATATATATATATATATATATATATATATATATGTCGTACCTAGTAGCCAGAACTCACTTCTCAGCCTACTATGCAAGGCCCAATTTGCCTAATAAGCCAAGTTTTACTGAATTAATATATTTTCTCTAATTTTTTTCTTATGAAATGATAAAACTACCCATTTCATTATGTATGAGGTCAATTTTTTTTTATTGGAGTTAAAATTAACGTAAATATATGACCGAACCTAACCAACCCTACCTAACCTAACCTAACCTATCTTTATAGGTTAGGTTAGGTTAGGTAGCCGAAAACGTTAGGTTAGGTTAGGTTAGGTAGGTTACGTAGTCGAAAAAACATTAATTCATGAAAACTAGGCTTATTAGGCAAATCGGGCCTTGCATAGTAGGCTGAGAAGTGAGTTCTGGCTACTAGGTACGACATATATATATATATATATATATATATATATATATGTCGTACCTAGTAGCCAGAACGCACTTCTGAGCCTACTATTCAAGGCCCGATTTGCCTAATAAGCCAAGTTTTCATGAATTAATTGTTTTTCGGCTACCTAACCTACCTAACCTAACCTAACCTAACTTTTTCGGCTACCTAACCTAACCTAACCTCTAAAGATAGATTAGGTTAGGTTAGGTAGGGTTGGTTAGGTTCGGTCATATATCTATGTTAATTTTAACTCTAATAAAAAAAAATTGACCTCATACATAATGAAATGGGTAGCTTTATCATTTCATAAGAAAAGAAATTGAGAAAATATATTAATTCAGGAAAACTTGGCTTATTAGGCAAATTGGGCCTTGCATAGTAGGCTGAGAAGTGCGTTCTGGCTATTAGGTACGACATATATATATATATATATATATATATATATATATATATATGTCGTACCTAATAGCCAGAACGCGCTTCTCAGCCTACTATGCAAGGCCCGATTTGCCTAATAAGCCAAG